GGGGACAAGGTGCTGTCGCAACCCTTGCCCCCTCTCGGTCAGTAAATGCGGCATTGCCTGTTGTCAACGTGTACGTTGAGGGTAAACGATGTTCGGCGCCGTTGACACTGGATGTTCCCGATCGATCGTTAGTGCGGATCGGCGCGTGACATGGAACAGTCAACAAATCGAGATTCGGACGATTGGACGGAGTGTCCCGGGCCTGTTGTGGTGTCGGGACTGTGTCAGTCCTAACAGACGGAGGGAGTCATGCGAAGTCGGCGTCTTGGTGGCACGTCAAAGGCCCCTCGGTACGACCTGCTACTTGGGATTGATGCGATCCGGCGTTAGGAGGCATGATGATCCGCCAGCCGGAAATGTGGAACTGGGTGAAAGAAGAAGGTGTGTGCAGCCCTTTGCGTTAGTGAGCGGTTTTCACGTCTCCTTCAATTCCGACGAGAGTGTGGACCGCCAGGTGGAAATGGGCCAAAAAGACCCGCCAGTTCAACCGCCGCAACAAGGTCGCTGAGTACAAAGTTCCAGACAGCATCAGAGGAAAATACGAAAGAGCTTCACCAGTGGATTGTGAACGGCTGGCTGATTCCGTACCCCCAGGAAAGACTGGGACCCCCAAAGGGTCTGATTCCCTTGATGGCAGTCGTGCAGGAGCAGAAACAGAAGGTGCGTCCGTACTCGATTACCCTTGCGAATTGAACGACTTTGTGGATGCTTTCACTGCCGATGCAGAAGTGTGCGCACATAAGTTGAGAACGTGGCGGCGGCAGGAGTCAATGTGTCGCTTCTGGATCTGCGGAACGCATATCTTCAGATTCACATCGACGAAGCGCCAGGCCATTTCAAACGGTTATTTTCAAAGGCCAACGCTTCTGTCTTACGCGGCTAGGATTTGGGCTAAATGTAGCGCCACTCATCATGAAATCCGTTATAGACGCCATCGCATCGCAAGACCGCACAATTGAAAGTGCCACATCAGCATACGTTGATGATATCTTCATTAATGAAAGTTTGGCCTCTGCATCAGCGTGTAAGACAACACTTTTCGGATTACGGTTTGGTGTGCAAGGATCCGGTGCGACTGAGAGATGGAGCAAGAGTTCTTGGCTTGCAGGTCTGGGAAGAAAATGGCACCCTCCGATGGAAACGAGGAAGTCAAATTCGGAAGCCCCTGATGTGTTGACCGGTAGCGCGTATTTTTTTCATTGTGTGGGAAACTTGTTGGACACTTCCCAGTGTGTGGATGGCTCAGGGTGGCAGTTGCATTAAGTCAAAGCCTGGCAACCGCAGCAACCAATGGATGGGATGATAACATCAAAGATCCCTCTCTCTATGATACTAGCAGAGATGTTAAGTAGAGTGCGGGAACTGGATCCCGTCGGAGGAGACTGGTGCATGCGTGGTGACGAGATCACAGTCTGGGTGGATCTCGAGTTCCGTGGCGACATGAGTGGCATTGGAAGTAAACGGAAATGTCATCGAAGATGCGTACTAGCTGCGTCCGACTAATGATGCCAGGCACATTAATTTGGCTGAACTTCGGCGCGGCGCAAAAGGAGTGAATTTGGCTCTCCAGTGGGGCGACAACGTTGCACTTGGTCACTGATTCGGGCGTGTGTGCACCGGTGGATTTCAGACACCTTGACCGGAAGGCACGGGTGAACACAAGGCGGCTGGTGAGATGCTGGTCAGGCGACGGCTGGGCATTTTGGCGATCGTTGGTGGACGAATATGGATTGACCGTAGATGTGACACTCGTGCAGTCCTGTCAGAACCGTGCAGATCGCCTCACCAGAGTACCGCACAGGTGGCTAGAACTGCTCAAGAGAGGAGAACCGGCACTCGAGAGCTGTGCAGTGGCAGGGAGACGACTGGATGAGGACCAGGTTGCCAATACGCATCGTCAATGCGGACATCCGGGCGTGAAACGAACTATGTAATTCGCCAGGTTAGTCGACCGCAGGTGTCCAGAGAAAGCGTTAAATCTGTTGTGAAGGCCTGCACAACCTGTCAGTCGATCGATCCGGCACCCGTTCACTGGGAAAGAGGAGAACTGAGCGTGAAGAGCAACTGGAGCAGACTGGCAATGGACATAACTCACTACAATGGTGAGAATTTTTTAACACTCATTGATTGGCGGTCCCTCCAGGTTTGCGGTATGGCGGCGCCAACCAGACAAGACGCGAGCACCGTCATTCGACTGTTGGAGAATGTTTTCCTGGAGCGAGGCCCACCCATGGAAATACTGACGGATAACGATACTACGTTCACCAGTAAAGATTTTAAAGAATTTGCGGACAGTTGGAACGTGCATCTGCGGTTTCGATGTGCCTACTCGCCAAGTGGAAACGGCATCGTGGAGCGGAAACCACAGAACCATCAAGACCATCGCAGCCAGGAAGGGCTGTACAGTATCGGAAGCGGTTTACTGGTATAATGTCGCCTGAAGGATAACATTTCACCATCCACGGCGCCGGCTGATGCACTGCACAAATATCATGTCCGCGCGTGAAAGGCGCCGAAGCCAACCCGCTGCCTGAACTAGAAGTGACTGGAGGAGATTGAAAAAAGGAGACATCGTTTGGGTCAAAAACCACGCGGCAAGTGTCACGACAAAATACGGCACTGGACGTATTCACGGAGGTTATCAGCCCGCAATCTGTGAGAGTTGATGGGGTGCCTCGTCACATTAAAGACTTGCGACCGGTGACGCAATCACTACCGTACCGGCGATGAAAGCGATTCCGAGTCTGGGAGTAGTGGAGCGTTCAATCTGCCTTTGAGTTAGACCTGCAGGGCAGCGATTCTGATAACAGCAGCCTCCCGGCTGACAAGGTGTTTACCGACACTCAAACCACAGACGAGAACACGCACGAGGATGAAGCTTGTGTTATCCCCCTTCGGAGAGGGACTCGACGGCGATGATCGCCACCTCCCTGCCCTGTTTGTGATCATGAGATCAGGGGAGTGGGGAAAAATTGTGAAAATGGCCTACCTCGGAAACGCGTCAATCTGGGCGCAGTATGTAAACTCTGGTCCTTCCATCGGTAAAAAAGAAACCAAAATGGCGGCGCCCACGTTTTATGCCGAGCGGTCTCGGTCAGTTAACGCGAAATCTCATTGCCTCGTGATTCGCATGCAAATCGTGGTCGATCCGCAGCTGTATAAAGCAGGCTTGTTTCTGCTGTTTCAAAGCAGAAGGCTTTCGGCTCGTGAGAAGGTTGGACGTGCGACACCGGTTTTCTTTGTGCCTACCTGCTATCATCAGTTGAATTGTTGAGTTACACACCACAATTTCATCATTTTTTTCACTTACAAAAAAAAAAAAAAAAAAAACCTAGATATACAGGTCATTAGCCTGCAAACTTTAAAACACTTAGTTTTTCTATTCTAAGACACATTTTCTATTCTATCATCGTTCCTGTCTATTTGAGTAAAATTTGATTCTCAAACATGTTACTTTTAGCAACAATTTAGAGAAACAGTTTACAGATTGACACAGGATATGTAAAGCATCTATTTTTCAGCATGAGCTCACCCACCCAAAGATCAAAAGGACTTTTTACTTTTGAAATTGATATGTGAATAAAATTCTTCAGTTGTTCAAATTTTAAAAAACACTGATAAATCTTTCAATATTCTACTAATGTATTTTATTTACTGTAAATTATTTTCCTTTCAACTACAAATTCAATGAGTGTGAATTAATTTATCTTTGATGAAGATTTTTGTCTCTGTCGCCTTTTTATCTTTGCTTTTCCTGTTGTGCAAGGGTAGCAGCTAGATGGGAAAACACTGACGTAAACTACAAGGTCATGAATTCGTTCTAATCAAGGAAGCAAACCACCGTTCACAATAACTGCCAAATATTACCGACTACTAAAACATTTTTCTTAAAGGACAGTTTTAGCTTATAACCAAATTCCAGAGATTTAGCATTTTGACTTTCATGAACTGAGAAAAACATGTGGACAACCCAATTTTTATTTTTAGCAACACATTTTGAGTCTTCAAAAAGAATATTGGTAGCACTTGAGTGATTTTCAAATCTGCTCTTTTCCAACAAAATTAATTGTTAAATCAAAATGAATGTAAATGAAGGTGTCATCTGGAGTGATAGAAATATTGCATTCAACTCAATTCAGACTGATGTGTTGCCTGGTCATCTGAAGATTCTGGTATGCCTGTTAATTGCAGCCCTTAATAAAGACACAGGAGAGAGAGAGAGAGAGAGAGAGATAGAGAGAGAGAGAGAAGAATCTCTTACAAAAGACCAACAAAAATGTGAGAAAAAAATCTAAGGTAATCTAATACCAAATCCTAACCACAGTGAAGAGATGCAAATTAAAATATGGGCACATCTCACAATGAATATGCAAAGACAATATTGCAAAGTAAAGGAGTGGCAGGTAGAGAAAGAAATGAGACAACAATACCCCAGAATTGACAGGCATAAATTTGTGATATGTTCTGAAAGAGTCAAGAACAGATAGAGAAAAATGGAGGGAGCAGACTGCAAAGTCATTTATTGTCAGATTATAATATCAAAATCCCAAGTTCAAGGCAACTGACAATAGAAACTTCACTACTGCTCATAGTCTCATCTAAAAGCAAATCATTTTTCTTCTAAAAAGTATACAAAACTTTTTTAATGGCTTTAGTCATAAAATTGAGTTTATACAGATTATTCAACAATTACTGACACAGAAACATTGATTATATATATCCCATAAAAAATAAGAAGCATGTTACAATGTAAACAAACCATAAATTTGTTTCTTTGCTAGTGTAATAATTATTTTTTGTTAACTCCCATTTTTCAAGAAAAGGAAAAATTTTCTTTGAAATACACATGATAAATTTAAATCTGGACAAAGACTAACCTCATTATGTACCAATGATTAAAAATAAATAATTGTTTTACGTTTGATAAAGAGTAAAATACCAGAGACTTAAGAATTTAATATTTAATTGAGACTAGTGTGATGCTAAAGTCCATAACTTACCGTCCTCCGGAGCGTCGGGAAACACCACCCTCTCCTTTATGTCCGTCCAGTATGCTGCTTGTGGTTGGAAGGAAACACCAACGTGCAGTTGAGATAATTAAAAAAAAAAAAAAAAATTTATTCTGAAATAAACAAGTTAGAATTATTACTTATTTATTTAATACTATTTAAGTGAATATGAAAATATCTTCACAATTCAATTTGGAAAATTTGACTACAAATGAACTTAACAGAATATATAAGATATATAGTCATTTTTTTTTTTTCTCTTTAAATCATCCCAAGCAAGTACAGTCAGAATTTAAAACTAGAATTCATCTATCTACTTAAATTAATTTCTTTGTGCTAAAATTAAAAAAAAAGGATTTTTTAAAAATATAATCAGAGTTCAATAAATTCTTAACTATTAAGTAATAAAACTAGGTACCTCCACTGAAGTTTCGATACCTAAAGTTTAAAATTAATTTTTAAAAATGAAAAAGCATTCTTGAAGATATCATTTTAGCTTTAATTGAAAGCTAAATGATTAAATTTACTATTTCCAGTAATTAAAATATTCTGGTGTATTTTAAATAAAAATTATATAGATTGGAATCTCAACTTTTTGGCCAATTTAAGAAAATTTTCTTAAAAAGCAGCCACTTTCTTAATTTTAAGAAATTAAGAAACAAAAATATCAATTTTTAAAAGTCTTCCAAAAATAAATTATATATTTGTAACATGTTGAGTAAAACTAGCAAATTTAAAGTTAAATTAATTTGATTAGTATACAAGCATTTCTTTACAACAGGTATTCTTTTGATCATGTCTTTATTGACATTATCGACATCACTGATAAGTTATAAGGTGATGACAGCTAGTATCAAGGATCAGAAATGACAAATTTACAAAATCTAAGAGAACGTTTTTGATTTTTAACTACCTAGTAACTTTTAGAAATTAACATTTTCAGCAATTATCTAATATTTTATTGACTTTTAGTTTAGTTTTGAAGATGCTTTAAGAAAAAATAAAATATAAAATTTTCTTAGATTAATTTAATAACAGACATAAAATTCCATGATAGAAGTAAAAATCAATTTATGAAATATTACAGTATTTTATTTAATATTAATAGTTATCATGATGGTTATTTTATTAAATTTTTATAGTACTTTGAATTTAAAACTTACTTTGAAATTTTGAAGGGATGATTTGTAAAGACGTTAATGATGAAACAGAAGTGAATAAGGAAAGTGTCATCTGACACTTAAATCATGGATTACATCATGTATAACTTCCCATAGGTAGAAATTTGGAATACTCTATACACTAAAAATTCTGTCTATATTTCTGAGATGAGGTATTATGTACACTATTTATTCGGACTATTGTCCTCATCTTTGTTGCCATATTTATCAACGTTTTGGCCATTGTTTGTTCTGGCCTTTTCAGGTGGTTCGAATGTCGAACTGAACCCTTTATGATAACAGCAAAAATTGCAATATGAGCACTGGTAAAAAATGATTGCTGAAAACATTAGGTTTATAATACCCAGAAATTCATACACACATGTCCTCAAGGATACATGGCACAGCAGAAAAAGGCGTTAGTTAGATCCAGTGACAGGACCTAAAGAGTGTGAGTATACCTGGTTAAGTGGGTGAAGGAGATAACTGATATGTGAAATACTCTACACACATAACTGACATCCATTAGACATGGCATGTGGAACTAGAACAGTCTACCCCAGTAAGCGAAATAAAGGGTTCAGTTCGACATTCCAACCACCTGAAGAAGGCTGAAGCGCACAACGGCTAAACCGTTGTGACAAATATGGCAACAAAGATGAGGACAATAGTCCAAATAAAGTAAATAGTGTACACTAAAAATTATTTTCTAGAATTCTTTTAAAATTGGCTCAAACGACTGTTATGAGCTTTTCAATTTTTGCTTTGTAAAATTAATTTTCACTTAACAATATCAGCAAACCACCACCTTGAAAGCAATGAAGTATTTTAAATGATTTTTTAATATTAGAAATTGTTTAATTAAAATTTCATAAAAAAAAAAAAAATTGTAAAATTTATTCACAGAAAAATTTTTTAAGACAATAGTGTCCTTAATAAATTTATCTCAGCAATTAAAAGCTTTTCTAATTAAATGTCAGTTTTCTTGCATTTTTTTATTTTACAATTCAGAGCAGATTTTTGGTAAAAGGAGCAACTGTTTTACAAAAAAAAAAAAAAAAAAATGATGATTTACTTCCTTCAATAACAGATTCCACAAAAACAGCATTACAATTTTAGAATAATTTACCATATTCAAAGGATATTTTAAGAATGAGAAGTATATGGCTACAGTTAGACAAAGACAAGGAATGTACAGTTCTTAGAATAGAACTTTGCAAATGAGACAAGTAAAGAAATTCTTTTAATCAACTTTGTTAGAAAGGATATTAACCCCACACATTAAATGAGGCTTCTTGGTTAAAAATTAAAAATGCCATAAATCAAAGAACAAAGTATCTACATTTACACTAGACAACTTCCATAAATAGTACAAAGGTGAATAATAGTTTATTACCAGAAATGAATGTGCAACAAAATGTGAACAGTAAGAAACAAAAAGCAAGTTTGTTGTTTAACAACTGACCTAGTGAGTTTTAAGTAGAACGCTTAAAGTACAGTATTAATTTAACAAAAGTTAAATATTTAGACCAGAGGTGTTCAACTTTTGATAAAGAACAACTGTTTTGCAAATTATATTTTAGATTCTGCTACAAGATTCTTCTAGAGAACAAGAAAAATTCTCAATGTTAGAGAAACGATGAGTAAGTTAAATAGTACTTTAAAAGAAAAGGTTTTTTTTTTTCACCTATTTGTTTAAACCACAAAAATATAAATTAAAAAGTTCACGATGTCAGACGACAATTTTTCACTCCAGAATTTGCCTATGTCTTTTCTATAAATACTTTCATGGCAATTATTCAAATGAGCTCTCAGTTATGGTACCTAGAGTTTTTGAATTTAAGTGCAACACTAGACTGGCACAGAGATCTCAGCAATTTACAGTTGAGATGGCTAGATGTAGCCACAAATTCTTCTCACAAGTGGAACTCCTTTCCAGCTCCATGCTTTCCAGCCAACTTTAATCAGCAAAAATTTAAATACAATGTCAATCAATATCTACTGTCCTTCTGATTATTCTCTTTTCTTTCTACTAATCATTAATGCTTCTGATCCTAATTCTTCCACACCTTGTCTTGTGTTTTAGTGGCATTACTGCTTTGCTTGGGATGATTCAGATTATAAAAGTTAACTATTTTACAGACAATAATGAGACAAATAAACAGTGGAAAAATCTTCTTAGTTAAATTTGAAGTTTTTTGAATTGATAATCAAAACATCCTTGCTGCAGTTAGGAATGTTGTCAGTAATACTAATAAGTCTTAACGTTTTTCATGTGATTAAATGATTGGATATGTAAATAGGGGAAAAAAAAATGTTTAGATTAGTTGGTAAATGACTATATAAAAATTAGTAGTCAATGTAATTGAATCCAAAATAAAAATCATACTTTTCATAAAAATACAAGACTTTTCTTTTTCGGACATTTTTTTTTAATTAAGATAAAATTCAGTGTTAAATTCTTTGCAGTTGTGTAATTTTTTTTTAATCATTGTAACACCAGACAATGATACAAATAAATTTAGAAAACTCTAAATATTAAAACGAATCGTTGCAAATATTTTACAAGACGAGAAAAGTCATTCTCGAAAAAGGATTTATCAAATAAAAATGCATCAAATGATTAACATCTGTGGATATTTTTCTTTTTGATAAACAAAAAAAAAAAAAAAATCAGAAATAAAAACTTAAAATTTATAAAAATTCTTAAAAATGTAATGGATAAAAACTTGAGAAAAAAAATGAAAAGAAAAAGTCCCTTTTAATAATCAGTAGCCCACATGCCATAAAGGATGGTTGTCGTTATGAAAAAGTTACAATTATTAAACCAACGTCCGACAGTGGCAAATCTGAATTAAAAGTAGAAAAGAGAAACTATAAAGCAATTTACTGGCAACTGTACGAATGATGAGAGATCTTCAAATAAAACAAAATTTGTGAAGGGGTAAGAAGAGTTCTAAAAGATAAGTAAAACAATACATTGAAAGTTATATTTTTAAGTTCACTGACAACAACAAAAAAAAAACAAGAGAAATCTTACAGCTAATGAGTTGGCTTTTATTAAGAAAAATAAAACGTAGATGCAGATAAGAATTTAGTAACATAATCTGCTGAATGTTTCACAAGCAGGAAGAAACAAGGTTGGAAGAGAGCAAGACAAAGAAATACTCTTTACTACATCAAGTGAAAAAAAATATAGCATTTTCTTGAGGCTTAATAATGGAGGGGAAGCAGCAGTAGATCGAGTGGTGGTGGTGGGCAAATTAATGTACAAAATAAGTAGGCAATAGGGAAAAAGTGGTCTGAAATTGAGTTAGAAGTAAATAGTAGACAATTTGGGAATAGGTCAGCGGGTCGTAACTAATAACACGGAGAAGCAGCAAACACGCAGGAGAAAAAAAAAAGAATGGAGGATTGACGTTTTCATCGGATTTATTTGTCGATACAAACACGACAGCGATCGATTTTAATTAAACACAAAAAATAAAGACAGCATAAATATTTTATGGTTGAATTATAGTTAAAAATTTGAGGAGCTGAACGAATAAAATAAGAGAGAATAAAGCAAGAAAGAATAAGAAGCAACAGCAACCAGAGAAAAAGGAAATGATGATAGGGGAAGTGAAGAACCACTCCATGGCACAAACACATGACATTAATTACTACGTTTATAACTTTCCCGTATGTTTTAAAGAGACTAAGAAATAGTTTTACTCTTTTCATTCAGATTGAACAGATTTCATCTTAAATTCGAAGAATATATATATATATATATATTTTTTTTTTACAATAAAAAAATCTAGTTTTATTTCTTTCGACGTGGTTATAAAAATGCTTTACTCTTTTTTAAACTCAAAAAATGTTTCTTGTTGGTTTCATCGGTTCATTGTGAAGATTTAAATTAAAAATAAATAAATATAAATATATATTGAATGAGCAATTTTTCTTTTTATGCCGATAAATATTGTATAAAAGCCTAAAATACAATTTGATTTGCTTCTCTGTACACATCAACTCTACGAGAGCCGCGTGGGTGTTTTAATTTTTTTTTAATTGTACTTTTTTTGTAGCCATTTCAACACAACCATTAAGAGAAGCTACCATATAATTGTTCGCGAATACATGTGGACTATTTCACTTTCTGATGTTAATTAACATTTTTTTTTGTTAGGCCATCAAGCATTAACAAAAAAAAATAGGAGAAATAAACTAAGATTTTAGTTCATTCATTTAAAGTAAAAATCTAAAATGCAAAATAAATTTATTAATGAACATTGATCAAAGTCTGTCTATTTGCATGAAAAGCGAAAATGTTTTACATACTTAATGAAAAACATTTCTACGTTTTAATTTATTTTAAAATTCCTTTTTAAACAGAAAAACCACAAGAACATGGATAATTGTTTACATACAATATCTCATTAATAGTCGTAATTTACAAGTATTTCTTTAACAGAGGGAAACAGCCTCAGTCTCTAGTTCTAGAAGTGTTTTTTAATAACAATGCAGACACAAAAATCTAAAATATGCAATGCACCTCATTAATGATCATCTTTATGATTGTTTATTCTCAGAAAGCAACACATGGTTTATTTATACCAAGATTATTCATTTTATTTTCTCAATTCAAATGTCTTGTTAGATAATCAGTAGTTTCACAAGATCCATGTAGATAACAAAAAATGACATTAAAAAAAAAACTAACAAAATCAAGTTACAAAAAAAAAAAAAAATGGAAAGTGAATTTTAATATTTTAAGTCCATAGTAGATTCACTTAGTGAACTCGTGAAGCCGACAACGACTACTACCTGTTTGATACTAAAGACATTGACAACTACTGCAATTTGAACTACAAATACATTAGGACTATCATTCATTATCAATGGATCTATGAATCGCTATAAATTATTTTTACATCCATTAAATGCAAAAAAAAAAAAAAAAAAAAAAAATTAAAAAGGTTTTAAAATGCCTAAGCAGAAGAATTCCGACAAGAATCTCTGAGAATTTTCATATATTCAAACTGTCAAAGGCACTATGACTGAACAGCTGCTACTTCTTGTAACTTTGGACAAAGTGGATGTTGGCTTCAACACCTAATGAGAAAAAAGGAAAAGACAGGTAAGATTTGGAGGGATGTTGCAAATTGGATTTTCTTTTCTTCTTTAGATAAAAAGCCAATTCATAGTATTTTGCATTAAAAGTTGCAGTAGTGGAAGTTCCAATAGTAACAAGTGAAATAAATGGTAGGTAGCAAGTGCGAGTAGTAAATGTTGGAGTCAGGTCTTGGGAAGGAGAGGCTGTGGCTAGCAACAGTCGCCATAGTCGGTATCGAGTCTATATAATCACTTTGTCAAATCATTAATATATTTGTTTTTATATTATAGATAGATCTTAAAGAAAATGTGATAATAACAGTGCCAGTTGGAAGACAACAATTTTTATATTTCCTTGCTCGAAGAGTAGAAAAAAATCCACCTATATCATACAAAAAGAAAAAAAAGTATAAAAAGATCCATGCAAAAAGATCAAGAGGTTAAAATACAGCTGATCTATTTATATAATGTTGACTTGAAAAAAATAAAAAAAAAACTTTGTTTGAATTATATATATTTTTTTCAATATCCAATTAAAAAGTTTGCCGAAACTCAACAAAAGCTGTAACAAAAAAGTCTAAAGTTTTTTTTTAGAGGGGATAGGCTGAAAGCTTGTAATGAAGAGGAACCGATTTTGAAACAAAATGGGATAGACGAAATAAGGCTGCATAAAACAATTTAACCATCTTTTGTCTATTTTTTTAAAAGTTCCAATAACATAACAATAACATAATTGACTTAATGATCTTTTCTGAATTCGGTTTTTATTGGAGTTAGATAAAATATTATTAATATCATGAAATCGAAAAGTAATTTATTCTCCGTTAGAAATTGACATAAAACCTGCAAATACTTCCGCTTCTCTCTCAATTATTTCTACGAGTGGAATTTTACTATAATGATATCCACGGTCAGAATAAGTAAGAAAAAAAAAAAATAAATAAAATAAAACAAGAAAACAAAGGAAAGAAAAATATTTGAAATTCACAAAGTCTTCAGGAGTAGTTTTTCACCGATAAATTTCCTGTTCTCTGAACTTCACGTAGAAGAGAAGATAGTATTTGTCTCAATAAACAGAATGAAATTCATCAAACTTACAACTACATCTAACGGCAGAAATTTATTTCGAGAATGATAGAGTGTGAGGGGAGGAAAAACTAAGCAGCACGAAACAAGAGAAACCAACTTGGCTGGAAAATAAGACACAAGCTTTGGAAGTAAAGAAGCAATAATGGCGGACATAGTAGTAGCAGTGGGGACAAGGGGTGAATACGACCGAAACCTCAACTGGTGTTTTATTTTTAAATAAAACCGTACACAAAGAGGTTGTAAAATAATCAGTCGAAACAAAAGACTAGGAAAATTAGATTAAAGTTCACATTACCTCGTTTAAAATTATGTCTCAGTGCTGGTAAGAATCGCGCAGAGTTAGACCAGCCTATCCATTATTCACCCTCGGCAGTGCATCACGGGAACACCAGCTCCAAACCAAGCCTTCCTCTTATTATTATTACTACTATTATTATTAATAATAATAAATGACAATCTACTGCCGGCGTAATTTTTTAATTAAATTATTTTAATATTAAAAAAAAAAAAAAAAAAAAACAATATTTATAATTTTTAAAAGAATTTATAAGAATAACAGTTTTTGTAAAACTTAATGAAATTTTGCCAGCGGTGCATTACGGGAACTTCTACACAGGGACATAAATGATTTTGTTTTTTGTTTTTTAATAATTTTTATTTATTTGTTTTTAATGTAGTCGGATAATAAATATTTTTAAGAAATAAATTTTAACTGAAATTGATTTATATAGTTGAAAAACAACCGTTTTAAAAGCAAGGAAGAAAATACGTATTGATGCATCATGGGAAAACAAGGACCGCTATATAAATTCTTCCTCATCTTCAAAGCCTGCAGATTTATCTTTGATTTTTAAATAAAGACAAAAAAAAAAAAAAAGTTCTTTTTTTTTTGCCACTTGTTGTTCAAATTGATCTTTTTGAACGACCTGTAAAATTATGAATTAAATTTTTTTCCAGCCAGTGTGAAGAAATCTTTTTTTTTTTCTTATAAAATCGAGAAAGGTTAACGCAACTTAAAATATCTAAGATTTTTTTTCAACCTAGTACTAACTTTATGTCTGCCTTGTAAATAAGCAAATGATTATAAACAAAAAATCTCAGTAAATCGTCCAAAGTTCTAAATATTCTTCTTTTTGACAGATTATTGCATTTCACAAAGAATAAGGATTTAAAATAGACTTGTACGCAGAATGAATGAGTAGCGAGACAACTTGAAAAAGAAAACTTATGAATTAAGTTTTATTTTAGTTTCAAAAACTCTGATCGGCATAATAATTGAAAATTTCAAATGGATTGTGATTAAATATATGGACAATCACGTAACTAAAAATTGTAACTTAAAATAAAATGAGATGAATAACTAACTTTAAATAATTACTTGTAGCACGCAGCATGTCCTAGTATTATTGAATTATAATTGCCGGCTTTGGTGATCTTAGTTCAGTTTACATGTATTTTACATTTCAAACCAATTATGTAAATTTATAAGAAAAGTTTTTGATGGCTATGCTACTTGAGTGTAGCAGAAAATCTTAAAAATAAACTTTACTTTTATTTATTTATTTTTTTTTCAATGTTTGTATCGAGGGTCAGTTTGAAAAAAAAGGGGGGGTCAAGGGGAATAACTCATCGACCAGGCGTGAAATATTAAAAAAAAATTATTTTTAACGGATTATATAGAAATACATGAACGCGTTTTAAATGAAGAATACATTTCTATTAAGTAAATATATTAATTATGGGAATTAAAATAAAATCTGGCTTTCTGTCCGGTTAAAAAAAAGAAAACAATAATAAAATATGGCCACTTACCAGTTTATTGCATGCAAAATTAAAATAAACCTGAAGTTTTTTTCTTTTTTGTTGTTGAAATCGAAAATTTAAAATCTTTGTATCTCTCTCTCCCTCTCTTCTTAAAAGGACGTTCTTTCACGTCCGATTTCTTGGAATAGGTATATTTAAAAACTTTTTGAATAAATAAATAAAACAAATCAGTGGTTTGAAGAGTCGAGTCTAACAAAAATGGCTACCACTTGTGAGAGTAGCGGTGGTAGTAGTAAAAAAAAAAAAAAAAAAAAAAGCAGCTTCCAAGACAAGACGGGTGCGACAAAAAATGTTATTTCTGACACCCACAGTTGGCAAACGAGATCAGTCTATGGCGTGAAGGAGGCTCTGATAATCACTTTTCACGCCAGTGCAGATCTCGCTTGTGTCTGTGTACTGTGAAATGTGACGGCCCGTCCGAAATCTTCTAATATTCGGAACGGCACCTCCCTTCTGAAAAATCAATGTCTTCCTTCGTTCTCCCTCTTCTTTTGCCGTTAGCAACGCTTGGAATCGCACCTACGTTCTTCTTTTTTTTCTTTTTTTTGTTCGTTTATTATTACTATTTTTTTTTTTTTTTTTTACAACGGGACAACAAAAATAAATTAGATACTTTTACCAACAAATTATATTATTAATTTATTTCTCATCTTTTCTTAATTTTTTTTTCTTTTTAAGATTTTATTTTCGGTTTCACCCAAAAAAGATGTCTTAAATCACGAAGTTTTAAAAGTGCGATGACAAATTTCTTCAATTCAAATATTTTAAAAAAAGAATGCATCTCTTTAGAGAGTTATAATCTTTATTAGTAACGACATAAAATTTATTATATGAAAATTAACCAGAAATAGAGTCTAAAATATAGAAACTTTTAAAAGTAGGTCAATTGTTTTTGTCTTTAATTTTTTTCTCTTGTTACTTTGAAAATTCAAGAAAGCTTCAAACAAATTTATTTCTGAACGCACAAGATAATTATTTCAGTGCTATAATTCTAGGCTTAGAATAAATTGAATTCAATTTATGAAAATAGACAAAAGAAAAAAATGTAAATTAAATATAATGCAGGATAATGACTAAGAATTTGTTTCAGAAATCCAAGATTATTATAATAAATAAAAACATTTACAATATGTATACATCTGAACATTGATAAAAAGAATGCTTCTTCAAAAAAATTCTTATTTACACAATTAGATATGGACTATTGTCCTTATCTTTGTTGTTGTTCTCACAATATTTCATCATTTGTACCCTTCAGCCTTCATCAGGTGTATATTAATCCAGGTAACCTACAGGGAATTCTTTAATCTATGGGGGTAGACTGTTTTTGTTCTGCTGCCCATGTCTTGGGATTTTTGGTACTGCTCAGTTATTGCTTGTCATGTTTCCACTCAGTCCAAATACACAATGTCTGGCCCAAATTTACAATTACTATGTTACGAAATTCACAAACCAATGCTTTCATTAAAGCATTGATTCCTGAATTTCATGACATAGTGGAATAACAGTCTACCACCATAGATTAAATAAAGGGGTCAGTTTGAAAATACCTGTAAGTTAACTGGATGAATATACACCTGATGAAGGCCAGAGGGCACAACAGCCGAAACAGTGTGATAATAAAAAAAATATGAAGACAATAGTCTGCATGTAAATAGTGTAAATAATGATAACTGTTCATCCTAGAAATTCAGACAGAAAAATATCCATGTAAAATCATTATCAGTCAAATAAATTCATTATTCCAAGAGTTACTCAGACTATACTGAACTGATTTCTTTATTGTTTTTTTTATGCTTTTGTTATTATTTTCTACCATAATACCTTATCTTATTCATTTTAAAGTGTTCTTTAGGTGTACTAAAAAAGAGTTTTTCTTTGTCCCGAAATAAATGGTGGGAGACATATTGATCAGATTTGCTGCCATTTCTGGAAAAAGAGGTTGCTAGCTTTATTTAAGAAGTACACACCTGATGAAGGCTATAGAATGAATGAGTTGTAGCAACAAAAAAATAAGAACAATATATTCAGGGATCCATACAATGCTTGAAATTAAAAAGATCCAAAAATTCTTTGACATTGTGTAATGGCTAGCAACCTTGTCTCGCGAGATCAGTTATGACCGAATAGTGAGTTTGATCCTCACCGGGTACTCCATACTTTCAGCCTTGTGCCACATCTAAGCTATGCTTAGTAAATCACTAAATTTCTAGTTGTTATAGTTTTTGATTGAGTGTATGATTGGTAGAGCAAATATTTCCATATTTATTCAGTCCCATATAATTTTTGTCTGGTAAACTGATATTTCTGCCACAATCTAGGATGGGAGTGGGGAGTTATTTACTGTTGTAACCGAAGGAAGGTTATGGAATAGAATAATCAAACGAAAGTTGGGGGTGAACGATAATACTTACGACGCAAACAACACATATAAGATTCTCCAGCAGCGTGTAGAAGAAATAATCAACTGCTCAAAGTGAGTCAAGTGAATTCCACAATGAAGCTCCAACTGCAGGATATCTACCAACTGCCCCACATGGTCAGATGTGGCACAAGGTCAAATTTAATGTGGGGTATCTGAACCTGTAGGCTCAGCCAAAAATTCCCCATAGACCCCCATATAAAATGGGGTCGGGTAGCTGTTTCACAAGACTCTGCCCTTCTATATAGCCTCGTCTGGGGATCCTCTCTGCCCAGAGACAGAGAGTTTGACCAGTGCAGCTGGAGATGAATCTCCAACTGCAGTATATCTACTAACTGCCCCATGCAGTCAGATGTGGCACAAGGCTGAATTTAATGTGGGGTATCCAAGCCCATAGGCTCGGCCAAAAATTCCCCATAGACCTCGTATAAAACGGGGTTGGGTAGCTGTTTCCCAAGACAAGACTCTGCCCTTCAACATAGCTTCATCTGGGGATCCTCACTGCCTGGAGACAGAGAGTTTGACCAGTACAGCTGGAGATGAATCTCCATTTGCAGACCAATATACAGTATTTACTACTATATTTATGTGAATGGGGACATACCCATTATCGTTCGTAGATATGCTACAACACTTACTAACACAGTTTTATTTAGTTTTTGTAAATATTTGTTTTTACATATTGGGGGTAGATATTGTTATATTTTATGCCCCGTAGATAAAAAATGTAGATGTGAAAATTAGTTAAAACTTCATAGAGAAATTGGAATATTTTGGTGACTGAAGTAGGAACAATATGCATGGATGGTATTATGGTGAATGGAACATTATCATTTGAGTGGGTCCGTGTTTGAAACTAGCTAAATTAAACATGAAAACAGCTCACCTCCAATTTCAGCCTTGTGCCATATTTGATGTGCATATTCATCAATAAATACCCTAAATTTCTAGCTGACATGTGCAAAGGTCTTCACAAAGGCAAAGGACAAGTTCTGTTTGGCAAATAGCTGACATTTCTGAGTATTTAACACACTTATTAAATTTATATTCTTGCTAAGCTTTGTTCTATGCTAGATGTTCCCCAAACAGTAGAAATTTATGCTCATGACACAATTACTTTTTCTGTTTGATAGGTCCAACTAAGTAAAACTAAAAGCTGCTTTTAAAAACAACCTCCAATCAATTATTAACTGGAGCAAGAAATGGCTTGTAAATTTTACTGTTTCCAAAAAGAAACTGCTATCCTTTAGTCATTATAGAGAACCCTTTTTGCCCTCCATCAGCTTGGTTGATGCTAAGAATGTTGGTTCACTGTGTTGTGCCAGACAATTTTTCTCATTAGAATCTATCTTGCATATTTATAAAACTGCCATTTATCAGTGCATTAAATACTGCAAGCATATCTGGTCTGGTTATATATCTCAAGATTCTCAATAAAATCCAAAGAAGGATCTGTAATGTTATTGATCATAACCTGCCATTTCAACCAGTCACTTTCCTACTGCCATGACATGACTTCTATCTGTTATTTTCTATAAATATTTTCATGGCAGTTGTTTTAATGAACACTCATCCTTGGTATCTGGTCTGCATGAACCTAAGCGTTCTAATAGATTAGCAAATAGGTCTCATCATTTTACTGTTGAAATAACTAAATGTAACCAGCAGTTTTATTCTAATAGTTTCTTTTCCCACACTTCTCACCTGTGGAACTTTATTCCAGTTTTTTGCTTCCTTGCCATGTACAATCTTCAAAAATTTAAATGCAATGTTAAATACCATCTTCTGCCTTCCTGAACCCTGTTCTTTTATTGTCCTTTCTCCTAACTAAATTCTTTTCATTCTCTTTCACTCCCAGTAACCCCTTGCATCTTGGTGGCATTAATGCTTTGCTTGGGATGAAATGTTTTAAAAAAGAAATGTGAATAAAAGAGAAATTTGGCACCAAGCTTAAAAAATAACATTCCACATGCAATTAATAACTAAGAAAAGAGTGGAAGTAATAATAAGTTATTGTTTTTGTTTCTTTTATTATGCTAACAATGCTTCATTCAATCTGTACAATTCATATGGAAGATAACTTCTTTAATTTTGTGATGAGACATAGTTATTGCATACATTTTCAAATGAATTCTTTTAATATTGCCAAGTTGTTTAGGCCTATTATTTTTGGTATTAGTCATGTATATAATCAAAATAAGACATAATTTTGATACTTTTGATGTGACTCATTAACATAGCAAGAGTTATTTCAACTGTTGAATTCATTCTTTGTTTCTCACATAATTGCCGTTATATTTTGGTCAAATCTGTTCTATGAATTTCTTCATAGGAATATTGTATAAAGAAAATTACTGTCTTTCATTTTCAGATCAGTTATTAGTATCATTCTAAGAGTTGTTTCAGTTGCTTTTAGTGTTGAAAACATTCTTCCTGATTCTGTTAACAATGTTCACAATCTGATTTTAGGGATGTGGAACATTTATGGCATATAGGTAGAAACCTTTACTTAATACCAGATTTTTTATAAACCTATAATTAATACTGACTTTTTAAAAGAAAACTATAATACTGGATTTGTTTTAGAAACCTATAATTAATACAGAATTTTTTGTAAGCCAATAATTAATACCACATTTTTTATGAACTTATAATTAATATCAGATTTTTTATAAGCCTATAATTAATACCAGATTTTTTTTATAAATCTATAATTAATACTGACTTTAAAAAATTTATAATACTGGATTTTTTTTAGAAACTTATAATTAATACTAGATTTTTGTAAACCTATAATTAATACCAGAGTTTTTATATACTGATCACTGGTCAACACCAAATTTATTGTTGAATTTTTTTTTTAGCTGATTAGAGAACAAATTTGATGTGCTGAATCCAAAAATTACATTGGTTTTGCTCAATCAGGTCAACTTTTTGAGCTATTGCCATATACTGTTTCTTACATTTTTGTTTATCAAAATATAAAACATATTTCACACAATAAAACTAAATGTTAATTATAAACTTATTAATTTTAAGCCATCAGAAGTATTTTCAGCCAAAAATAGCTGCATAAATATTAAAAAACACCTCCGAAATATTTATAAACCACTAACACGCAATTACATCTCAAAACACACCAATTAAACTGTACAGTACAAAATCATAGAATACAAATCAGAAAAGTTGTTTATTAGTCATTATAATTTAGGTATATGCCAAAATATTATGCATATGTAGTAGTAAGTGTACCATGTGACTTTTTAGGGCCAATTAGGAATATGTAAAATTATATAATTCAGGGGCCAATTTTTTCAGGAATAATGGTATAAACAACATAAATATTGACCTCAACAACA